GAGCATGCACAATAAAACTGATTCAAACTGTCACATATCGATATAGAAAACAAGATTGAGCATGCACAATAAAACTGATTCAAACTATGACATATTGATATAGAAAACAGGATTGAGCATGCACAATAAAACTGATTCAAACTGTCACATATCGATATAGAAAACAAGATTGAGCATGCACAATAAAACTGATTCAAACTATGACATATTGATATAGAAAACAAGATTGCGCATGCCTAATCAAACTGATTCAAACTGTCACATATCGATATAGAAAACAGGATTGAGCATGCATAATCAAACTGATTCAAACTCTCACATATTGATAAAGAAAACAAGATTGAGCATGCACAATCAAACTGATTCAAACTGTCACATATTGATATAGAAAACAAGATTGAGCATGCCTAATCAAACTGATTCAAACTGTCACATATTGATATAGAAAACAAGATTGAGCATGCACAATCAAACTGAGTGAAACGCATTTTTCGTCAAGGCTGTGGACGACATGAAACCAGAGCTGAGGCACGATTACGTGTTGGCTCTTGTTTCCGTCTCTGGCGGCGCAGTCATCAGCACACGGCCTGGAATGAACACGGCAACAGTAGCCATGGCAGCGAGTGACTACCCTCACGGTCTCTTCCACTTCACAGAGCCACAGGTTGTTAGGGTGTCAGAAGATGCCCCTCAGGTATGTTTTTCTCCATCAATGTTAGATGGTTAGATGATCCAATTAATGATATCTTGCCTAGTGAATTTTCCTAGGTCGAAAACGTATGGTGAGAGTTGCTGTCCTAGCTGGGGAGAAAAGCCATTAATTTCTTGAACTGATTGAATAGTGATTATTAGTAAGTATAGGCAGTTATAATCAATACCATTGTTGTTTTGTATCAAACCTGTTATCATTGCATGATAATTATTACAGAAAATATTTGTATATATTTTGCAGCTGAGCTTGCCTGTTGTAAGAAGCCTGGGTTCTGCAGGGCAAGTGTTAGTCCAGTACAGCACTGTGGCAGGGACGGCTGTGAGCGACCGGGACTTCCGGCAGATTGCAGGAAGCTTGACGTTTGGACCGGGCGATGACCGACAGAACATCCTCATTGCCATCAGACAGGTTTGTAATGCTCTTTGCAATCCTAGTTATCAAAGCATTTCATAAAATTTTTCTTCATGAAAATTATTTTGGTTCTGCTATAGTGGCTTTAGAAATTTACTTCTGTTGCAGGATTTAGAGCCAGAGGGTGATGAACATTTTAATGTTAGCTTGGCATCAGTCAGGCTGATATCACCAGCGAGTAATGACTATGTAAAGGGCTCTCATGGTTATAGCCTTGACATGAGCCCTGACCTTGGGACATTGGTGAACAAGACAGTAATTATAGAGAAGAACGACAACGCCGAAGGAACTATTGAGTTTGGTCCGTCAGCTGTCAACTTTTTAGGCAAGTTAACAAGTGTGAATTTTATTGACATTAAAAATTGTTGGATAAATAATATCGACTCACAGATGTGGAATGTTATAATAAAAGGTTAAGTGACAGGCTAGTGTTGATTCAAGTAGTTACTTAGTTACTAATATTTCAGACCTATATTACTATTATTGAGCCGTTAATTGTCACATGATTTGCCCGATTTGAAGAACATATTACCTTACTTTATGAGATGGAGACCAGGTGCTCAGTTTCACACTTGTAGGCTTATTCTATTGCAGTGAAAGAGGAAAGCAGCATGGCTTATGTGCCTGTCGTTCGCACACGTGGTACATTTGGCATTGTTAGCGCAAGTTACACATCTAGACCAATCACCGCTCTGTCCAATGGCATTGACTATCTTTTGCCGGATGGGGAGGTCGTGTTCCCTGAGGGAGTTGGACTTGCTACCATTAATGTCACAATTGTGGATGACAGTGCTAGGGAGGTGGACGAAGCTTTTGAGATAATGTTAACTAGAGTGCATGGTAAGTATGTGCACATACATACTCTGTCTGTAATTTTAACAGTGCTAAATAAATTTTAAATATATATATATATATATATATCTTGTTCATATTACACTGTATTAGTTTTAGACAGAACTGAAGTATGTGCTTAAATATCATTATATTTTGTATTGTATTTATCATCATTATTATTATTCCTATCACTATATGTATATTTTAAACTATTACGGGTTTTTATAGATTATAAGCTTGGAGTTGCATTTAGAAAAAATCATTTGTGTAAAAGCTTTTCACGTGGAACTGTCTTATGTCTGTAACTCTAACCAATGTTCTGCTGGCTTTGTCATTCAGGTGGTGCGAAGCTTGGTGATCTGCGTGTTGCTACGGTTACAATCACACAGAGTGACTTTCCCTATGGTAAGATTGGCTTCACTGGATCGACAGCTATCACCATTCCTAACCCAGACTCTGCGAGAACTCTGGACTTCACCATACAGAGAACAGAAGGGCTAACTGGCAGGCAAACGGTACCTTATCGCAACCCTGCAGTACCTTTTTGGAAGCATGTTAAGACTGAAGTTGCAACATTATTGTCAGATAATGTCAGATAGAGCAGTAATGTGAGATGGATTGTGCAACAATCTTGCATAGGTTGAATAGCATCAAACAATTTTTTTTTACAATATTGCGATTGTTCCAGATTACTGACCATTAAGCTCAAATCCATGTTACACAATGAGGTATTTTACTGTATTCTTATTCTATTTATTGCTCCAGCAGTGAGCACTGACTATGGTGCCGGTAAACATATAAAGTTGTTTTTTAATTTCCAGGTGCGTTGGCACTTACTCGGTCCAAATGGAGACTGGCCTACTGATAGCACTGACGATATCAGCTATAGAAACTCGATTCCACGTGGGGTTGTTACATTTAATGATGGTGACATGGGGTCAGAGAACATTGCACTTGTTGTGAATCCGTACAGAGGTCCCGAAATAGAAAAGGTTTACAATTTGGTGATCGACGACATTAGAGGTAGACCCGGGTCAGCAGAGGTCAGTCCTACTGCTGGAAATGTCACCTTGAAGGTAAATCACAATTATATGGCAAATCTTTTTAGATTTGCTATACGCGATCATTTGAGGCATCGCCATTTGCATATTATTCTATTTCTGTAGGCATTTTTGTTATCGTGGTTAGAATTCATCATCAAGAAAATGTCAGATAGGTCATAGTTTGTATAGACTGCTCGTGGTTTTAAATGTGACCTTGCAGTTATCATAATTCCTACTCCTGATAACTGACCAGGTTACATCGTATCTTTTTAGATTTTGAAGCATGGAGATCCAAATGGAATTGTGAAGTTTGTAGGCTCTGCTCTGCAGTCAGTTGTGTTAGATGAGCCATCTAGAGATGCACCTCCCCTGATGCTGACCTTCCCTATTAGCCGGAGTGAGGGCACAGTAGGAAGCATCGAGGTATTCACTCACGAGATTATGTATAAAAACAAACAATCTACAAAACGATGAATTAATATGTACCATCGACATATATTCTAAAATGCATAGCTATTCGTTAACCATCTATTTCCTGTGTTCTGCTCAATATCACACGATTGAAATAGTAGCAGTCTTGCTACAGATGCATAGCAACGATACACATGAAATACTCGCCTGCCTTCACTTAACTGATCATAGTTACATGATTGTATACAGCGTCATGCGATCTATCCATAGGTTCACTGGGAGGTTAAAGGTCCCAAGGATGCTGTTGCTGACATTGAGCCGTACTCCGGAGTAGCCGTTATTCCCGACTCGGAGCGAAATGGGCAGATTGTCGTTCGCGTCCTGCCGGAGAATGAACCCGAGTTAACAGAGAACTTCATGGTCGTTCTCTCGGGTGTCAAGGGCGGTGCGGAGATTGCACGCTCAGACAATTCGAGCTCCTTCACCATAAAGTTAGTAGCTGTGTGTTTGTGCCAACGTCCTGCACAGTTTATGAATATCTCTGTATCATATGATTTACTTCCTATCGCAAAAATTCCAAGTACGCATAAGTGTATTCAGTATTAGTTTCTTTATATTTTTATATTTGTATATATTTTTTTTAAACCCTAATCACGTACTTATTATTATATTCAATGTGTGTAATATCAAAAGGCGAGCAAGCATTTCTTGCATTGAAAGTCGTACTTGGTAAGTTTATTACCGCCGCCAAGGAGGTCATGTTTTCGCCCCTGTTTGTGTGTTTGTTGGTTTGTCTGTCAACAGGATATCTGAAAAAGTTACGGACGGATTTTGATGAAATTTTTTGGACGGGTTGGTCTTGGACCAACAACCAATCGATTAGATTTCGGTGGTGATCTGGATCCAGATCTGGATCCAGGATTTGGGGGGGACTATTACTGACTCATTCAAAATTCATTAAAAAAAATCCTGGATCTTTTTTCAAATTTTTGAAAATTCCATCAAACTATATTGGGTGTACCAGCAAGATGGGGGGATCGTTACGCTGTGGCGGAGGTTTGCTATCTCAGATTGCTCTTGTTGTTGAGTGGAATGACTTCTACTTTCCTCTCTTTCTTACTCGCTGTCTCTCGCAGGGCGAACGATGACCCCCATGGAGTCTTCAGTATCTCGCCAGATTCTCAGACAGTGATTGTCACTCACGAAATGAATAGACAAGTGCAGCTGAACATCACGCGAGAGGGCGGTGCCTATGGCCCCGTAAGAGTGGCATACGACATCAACTACGAACAGGTATTTCTTTCTAGATTCTCCTACTTAACTCCGTTATCGTGCACAGATTAAGTATGATATTGTGAGTATGGGGGAGGTGGGGTGGGGCTTTTGTGTATTACCTATTTTTAGATTTATTACATTTTTATATACTACTTTTATATCTATATTTATTAGACTTTTATATTTATTACAAAGTATAATCATTGTTAAAATAGAATGTTATGAAGATTTGGGAGGGTGTAATGCATTTGGTAAATTGTCTAGATTATAATTAATTTATACGAGCATGACTTTTCTTATTTTTACAATGCTATTTGCAGTACTTCCAGTTAAAAAAATTTACCCGATGATGGCACATCATTGAACTTCATTCTATAGAGCTCATTTGTTTACATTCAACATATATATTTTCATTCATTCATGTTAAGTAGAGATCAAGTGTGCTTGAATGTTGTTTTTATATTTACACTAATTGGGCACTCATGGTAATATTATAGATACAGCAGATCAAATAATACTCAAAATGAAATGGGCAGAATGAAAATAGCCAAGGATTGGCTCTAAATGTTTATTAACAATATAAGTAACTTTTATCATTGTGATGTTAAATAATTATCATCATTCCTTATCCGTAGCTTTATGCAGCAGCTCCCCATAAATATTGACAGCTGCTTGAAATTGATATTTGGCTTTCAACAGTTTCACTCCAGCGAAACAGAACCATTTCGAAGATGGCGTCGTCCCAAAAGGCAAATAGTCAGACGACCAAAGGTTGAACATAATTTTAGCATAAGACACGCGATCACAACGTGTGTTGGACCCCTCACCGAATTTATTTATATATGTTCACCGTGTGGATTTAAGAATTTACACCTACACGTCCTCATTTATATTGTACGTGTTTATCTGACAATTGCATGGCATATGTGTCACTTAATTGATGCGTTATTTGTTATGTCAATGCTTGCAGTGTGTTTCAATCGTCTCACAAAGACCTGCACACAGGGGGCACACGGACACTTACACACACTCTCACATGCGTGCACGCACGCACACATGCACACACGCACACATACACGCGCTAGCGCGCTCACGCCCACGCACAACGACAGACACATGCACACATACATAGAGTAAGAGTGAGAGAGAACAAGATAGAGAGAGAGAGAGAGAGAGAGAGAGAGAGAGAGAGAGAGAGAGAGAGAGAGAGAGAGAGAGAGAGAGAGAGCGAGCGAGCGAGCGAGAATGCTCTGTGGATATGAAAAAATCCAAGTTCAATATGTGATTGCAACATTCATCTAAGCAGATCCTCACAATTTCAGCAATCACGCACAAAACTCGTCTCATAATTGCAGGTTTGGATTGTATTTTCATACTCACTCGTATCGTATTATCTGTTCATACTCCTCACTTAGCTTCATCTGTTGGTACCATAAACCTGAAATGCAGCAAATGTGTGTATATCTTAATTTAGCTTAAGATTTAAAATGATGATTTATTTTTGCATAATAATTATATACTGGGTGTATTGTTAAATACAGAGAAATCTAATGTGAAACCAGGTGCGTGATGATGATGCATCGGTTATATTTGATCATTGTCATACTATTATATCAATGATATCTAGATCTACCAGAGGATGGCTTTAATCAACGTTCTTCTAATTAATCAACATTTTTATCCTAAAGGAATTTGGTGCTGTTATTTTTTACAGGTTGTCTCATATTTATAATTGTATTTTTTTAACATTTTAGTAACATGGTACAATATTTATAAAGGTGCCGATGTACATTACATCTGGTATGAATTTCCATAGGGTTATGAGGATAATCATAACCTTCATTACTGAAGGAATTTATTCACTATAATTCAAATATCGTCCACATGACAGATAGCGGGTAACCTAAACGATTTCGTTTGTTTGTTTTAGGGCGAGGATGGAGTGCGATACGTCCCAACCTCTGGGTCAGTCTCCTTCAGAGATGGCCAGAATCAAGCTGCTGAACACATTGACGTTGCACCTGGTGTTAGACTTGATCTCGACTCTTACTTTATCGTGACACTGACTGCAGTTACCTATCTAGGAAGCCATCGTGAGTCTGCGTCGGAATATTTACGTGATTCACTAACAATTTTACCAGCACGTGGGTTAATGGGTTACGTAATAGGTGATTATGTAGCTAGGTTTGTATAAAATGTTGTTAGTGATTTGTTCTCACAGAAGTTGTATGTGGTTTGGATATGGTCAATAGCCTCGTTCACTCGAGACCTCGTATTTCTGAAATACCGGATTTGCGAAATACCGAATCTGAGACAAATACGCGGCCGAGCGTTCACACGCTGATTCACGGCTTCAGAAATACGGTATTTGCGAGCTACGAGCTGCTTTAAACAATCAAGCGAACAATGCGAAATAAACAATGCAATGCGCACCAACTGCCGATAAAATACGTAGACTGGTCCGCGCTCGACAGTTCCACCAGCGTTACACTAGAACTGTCGAGCGCGGACCAGTCTATAAAATACGCGGCTTCAGAAATCCGGTATTTAGCGTTCACACGAGGAAATGCGCGGTCCAAGAAATCCGGTATTTCTCAAGCACGGCAAATTATTCGGGGTCTGCGAAGCCTCGTATTTACATGAAATACCGGATCTGTTTAGATACCGTATTTCTTGGGCCTCGTATTTTGCCTCGTGTGAACGCTAAATACCGGATTTCTTGCTACGTGTGAACGCGGCTTATGAAAAGAACAGTTGTGTAATATTTTTTTTTTTAGAAAATACTAACATCAAATGAAATTTATTTGTTCTCCAGAGGCACTGCCTCCGAGATTGAATCAGGGGTCCACTTCCGCTAGAATCTACATTCCACAGGAGGCTGCCAACAGTCAAGTGGGTTTTCTGCATAATGTGGTCACTGTAAATGAAGGTAAGTAGTTACCTCTGCCAGGGGCTTGGCGGAGGTTATGTTTTCACCGGCGTGTCTTTGAGTGTTGGTTTGTGTGTTTGTGGGTTTGTGGGTTTGTGAACATGCACGTTTCAGTTCACTTGTTAGTTCTTAGTTCGCTGGCTGTAGACTTACAAACACGCAACCACAGGCTAAGGGGCAACCATAGTCCTCTCCTACCTGCACGCTCGCACTAATCCGGATCCAATTAATTAATTAATTTTTCGCACTTAATTATATTAATTATTATAAAAAATTCACATTGAGAGAATTCAGCTGCCTTGGCGGAGGTCTGTGCTCTCCGAGTGCTCTAGTTTTTTTTTAACAATCCCTCGGGCTTATTCTATGACCTCACTAATAGCTGCCTCTAGCTCTCTCTTTCTCTCTCATGCAATCTCACTCTATCTGTCTGTCTCTCTCTCTCTCCCTCTCCCTCTCCCTCCCTCCATATATATAGTGTCAGTGTGGCAGCACTGCCAGTGGCAGCAATGGCGCTTGGCGCAGCCAGTGTTTGTTGTAGATGAGCCATTTGGACGGAATTACAGGAAACTGTCGGCAATAATAGGTGAAAGAGAGTATAGAAACATTAAGAATTTGTAGTAAATAGATTTCGTATTTATTTAGCATTATATTTTATTGAAACGCTTCAAGTGCCTGTGAGTCTGCCTGCATGCATATGTGAGCGCATGCGCTTGCATGTATGTGTTCATGAATAGATATCTTGTCTTATGAAAGACGGTGCTTAAAGGCATAATTCGACCATTGATTATGCAATTTTAACGAATGCTACAGTAACTGGCACCTTGTGTAGTTAATAAGTACATTACCTTATAGCCAAACGCGTATTAGTTTGTCCAATATCACTGCTGGTTACTAAGAAATATCCAATTGAAATCCGCGGTCAAATAAATCCGTTGTTGACAGTTTCAACCCGCTATCGGCCGTAACCGGCCGTAACCGGCTGTAACGCGCGAGGCGGTGTCATACAGATTATAGTGCACCGGACATTTCGCACGTATGCTCGGCCGTCAGTGATTTTGATCTTTGTAGTCTGAGTGCGCGCATTCCGTACGTTATGGTTTTACTCTTGGGATTCGGGAATAAATGAATATACGAAGTTCTTGAGATTACAAGCACATATAATATGTGGCAACTAGGCAAATAATAACACTAGGCAAACAATTTACCCGGGCAAACAATTCGATATCAACATCCTGTAGCAACATGTGACGTCACCGAACCGAACTCGATGTTTATTTTGTTGGCAATAAATTTGCGTTGTCGCCAGATTACAAATTACGGATTTCAATTAGACATTTCTTAGTAATTAGCAGTGATATTGGACAAACTAATACGCGTTTGGCTATAAGGTAATGTACTATATTAACTACACAAGGTGCCAGTTACTGTAGCATTCGTCAACTTTGCATAATCGATGGTCGAATTATGCCTTTAAACCATGCCACTTTAATGATAACTTTGTGAAATGACATTGCATGCCTCTACAAGTGTATTGAGACTTTTCCGTTTTTGCTGATACATGCAGTTACTAATGAAGCAAGATTCACTATCTACCGGTGGGGTTCATATGGGGAAGTTGAGATCACGTGGCTGTCGGGATTACCAAAGAACATGATGCCAGGGGGCTTTCTACCAGGAATCATCTCACCACAGTCGGACCAAGTGACCTTGTACAACGGTGAATCCAGCAGGAATGTTTCAGCCATGGTTAGTGCATCTTGATGTTGATGCATTGAAGGCAGCATATGAGTTATTCTTGACTATTTTTCCGTATTTGTCGTCATCTTCACTGTCATAACTATCCTACCATGCTAGTTTATTAGAATATTACCATTAATGATCGATTTGTTAGTCATTTGGTTTATTGTAAAAGTTGTAATTTTGACCACTGTTACTAAATTAAAGTACTAATTTAAATACTTAGCAGTAAATTTACTAATTTGCAGAATTCGCTATTCATATCTTGATTTTGTTCTGGTTATTTTCATTTATTCGACACGCAGTATATTTACCCTTTGATGTGTGTTTTCATGACAACTATTTTGCAACTTGATGCTTAGTTAACAGCCTTGTCATTGCAATTGCAGCTGTTGCCAAAGGATTCAGTAGCAGAATTGTTTGCGGCACAAATAGTTTCTGTTAATGCAAGAACTGGAGGAACAGCCACAGTCAAACTTGACATGAACACTGTTAAGGTTGATCCTCATGGTGTCATCCAATTTGCCCCTCCATCACGCATACTCAGTGCGTCTGAGAGCTTTGGAGAAGTAAGAAAGAACACCAGATAAGCAGAGGCAACTCGAATTGTTTTACAATATCATGAATTTGTTGTTATGTCTATCGTGATATTTTGTATGTAGTGTGACGTCACAAAGCGGTTTTCACCAGTACTGTTGTTGAGAAAATATAAAGTGATAGTATAGGCATGTGTTAAATTCTGATGCATTGAAACCGAAATTCGGTTCAAGCTATATACCTTACTACTGTTTACTCTTGCAGGTCAAACTGGATATCATGAGAGCATATGGCTCTGAAGGGAAGGTGCGTCTGTCATATCAAACCTGGGCACTCACAGCTATGCCAGACCGAGACTACACAAGTGTTGTTAATGGTGCTCTTGTCATGGACTCTGCTGTGACCTCTGCAACTATAGTCATCAACATCATTTCTGACACAGAACCCGAAACCAACGAAGAATTTTTTGTGAACATCACTGGAGTAGAAATCCTACCAACAGTGCTTACACGAGGTATATATATATATATATATATATATATATTGGTTACCAAGGTCTGAGTCGTTTAGAGGGAGTGATGCACTAACAGAATTATCATAGTAGTAACAGAAGACAAATCTGAGCACAGTAATGATTTCAGAAAGTTCGCAGATTTTATACAGCTACAGCTCATTTGTATTTTGTGAAATTAACCCAATTCATTTTCCTTTTCCTTATAGGAGTATCACCTAGACTTAGTGATCTATACTCTGTTGCCCTGGTAACCATCTTAGGAAGCAATGATCCGTATGGAATCATCAGCTTCCGCACACCTGACATCAGCGTGCGCGAGTCAAATGACGGTTCTACTCGTAAAGCATTGCTGCAGATCGAGCGAACTGGTATTATTCCATTTTTTTAACATTGAAAGACTTATTGATGAGAAATTCATATGCTTCATATCTGCCTTATATATTTATATATTGTTTATATATGTGTCAAGGCAATGTACTTATTCCACTGTGCCTAGAAAATGTTCAAATTGCCATTTCACATACATAGCACTTGTTTTACACGCTTTATACATATAGCGTGCGAACAGATCATGTGTGTCTAATTAACAATGCCATGGTATATATCCTCATAATGTCTTGACGAAAAAAGAACTAATTTGCTACTGAAGAAGATGCATTACTTCTTAATAACAGTTCTACCCAACTGAAAATTAATGTTTTGTCGATTGCAGGTGGGTCACATGGTAAAGTTGCAGTTACTGTACGCACCATCGGTGGTGGCGAACTGTGGGAGAAATCTATAACTCCTCAGCCAGGCAATTCCACGGACAACATCGCCCAGGCTCTGGCTGCTATCACTGGGCCTAGAGCAACTGCTGGCGACCAATTTGACTATTTACCTCTCACACAGACAGTAACATTTGAGGTAAATTTTCAGTTATTTCCAGTGGTAAAAGAATTCCTATGTTAAGGTAGAGTGTCCCTGGCCATTATTAGGCTATAAGCAAGTGGTTTCAAATGTTCCAATCAGGAGCTGTAAGTGTTTTAATATAGGTTTGAAAAACACAGCAACCATGTTTCACTGTATTATATTTTATACACACATGCTAGCTTAAAATGACATTGTGTTCTTGCTTTGTCAGGAGGGTGAAATCTTGCAGACTGTGAACGTGATTATATTGGATGATCCATTTCCGGAACCAGATGAAATGTTTTTTGTCTATCTATCTGGACCAACTGGTGGGGCTAGGATAGCCACGGGTAGCCGGGATGGCTGGAAAAAGGTAAAATATCTAATTAACTCAGTTGCTTATACCCCCGTCACACTATGGCCCCGATCTCACTACGCTCGTACTACGCTCTGAGAGCGTGGTGGAAACGTGTAGAACGCAGTATGAACGTATATGGACGTACTGCGATCGCGATCAAGTGCGGTGCAGTCACCATGAGCGTGGAGAGCGTGGCCAAACTTTGAGCATGTTCAAAACAATCGTGGTGCGAGCGTGGCGGAAAGACAGCGTGCGTGTGATGCGGGCGTGTGTTGAGCGTGGTATGGAGAGTGGTGAAAGCTTGTTGGGCGCAATGAGATCGGGGTAAAGACGCACTTAGATTGTAGTATCGACGTAATTAGATCGTAGTATCGGCGCTGGGCCTGGCTGGGGCCCAATTGGCCATGCTCTCACCACGCTCGGGGAAATTTTTTGAGCGTGGGGCGATCGTGATGAGCGTAGCTCTAGTGTGACGGGGCCTTTAACTACTTATGATATTGGGTCATTGACAATTTTTGATGGAATGTTATATTAGTTCATATATATGTCATGGTGAACACAGTCAGTGGTACATGTAGGTGTTGTATGAAAGTGACAAGCAGTTAGTTATAACAACATGAAAGCAAGTATATTTGTCCATGCAGGGGTATGCTGTGGTTACCATTGAGGCGAATGATCTGTGGAATGGCCGCATTGGCTTTGCGGCCAGCTCTAACAAGACACTACTAGACGAGGATGGAGCAGGAGTAGTAACTCTCAACCTAACGCGATACAATGCCTTCTTTGGCAGAGCGACGGTATGCTTTGCACTAGGGGAGAAATTACTTTTTTTTCACGGGAGCTCTTTTTCAAAAGTGTGCGGAAAAAATAGCTCTCGTCAAAAATATTACGGGGGCTATTTTGAGCCTCACGGGAGCGATTTCGGAGGTTTGAAGAGCGAATCGCTCATCGCTCCCGTGTATTTTTTACCCTGCTTTGCACCTTGAGGATAGTTAATACATCTATGAAGCAAGACTAAATGTCGTCATAGAGGCACTGCATATAATTTAGAAATGGTTAATTGTGATCGCACTCTGCTGCTTATATAACTTGCATGTAGTGTATATGGCTTAGCTGGGATTGGTCGTGATTTGTATACTAAGGCACTCAAGATTTAGATGCAATAACTTACATGTCATGGCGGTTTCGATCATTTTATGCACGTAATCTCTTTTTTTACAAAATTGCGAACTAAATGGTAATAATGCATGATTTCGATGTAGTCTCCCTTGTAATCTGGGTAATTCATAATAGCGGATCGTTTAGCTTTATGCCCCTTGTCGCGTTTAGGTGAACTGGAGAGCAAGTTACGGTGTTGAGCAAGACATCGTGCATGACAGCAGGTTGAGTGGTGAACTACTGAGTACAGCAGGGCAGGCTGTGTGTGAACCTGGGCAACAGACCTGCTCCTTCACTATCGGCACTAAACAGGACAAGGTAACGTGTCTTAGGCAGGGCCGTAGCCTGCAGGGGGCAAGGGGGGCAGCTGCCCCCCTAGATTTTGGAGCAAAATTAACAAAATAAATTGTTCTACTAAAAGAGAATTGTCGTAGTCAGAATGAAGGCTGTACATGTTCTAAAAAGTGCGTCAAATACTATCTCCTGCGATCTACGTTTTCAAAATTTTCTGGGGTATGCCTACCCCTTCCTTGAAATCCTGGATCCGCCACTGCCCCCCCCCCCTAGGAATTTGCTCAGCCTACGGCCGTTGTCTGTGGGCTTCGAATCGTCACTTGTGGTGCTATTACCATGGGCCTACTCATGTAACTTCACGAGACGGGTTTGAGTGATCCTAAATTCCTTGTTCTTTTCATATGTGTGTCAACATAAAGTCACTTAGAAATGACAGACTTTAGGAAGAGTGGTGCTTTAAAAACAGTACCATTTTTGTTCTGCTGAAATGCAATGTTTCATATAATTTCGTGCTGCATGTTAATAAATAAATATTTCTAATTAATTATAATTTAATTATGTATTACTCTATTAAATATGCCCCTACATGGTTATATCTTGATCTATACTATAGTTTCCACTGTCCACAGAACATAAACATAAGAAAACACTAAACATTTCCTCATTGTTTTGATCTGGCAATAGAAACCGGAGAAGGCTTGGTGGTTCTTGGTCGTGCTTGATGCAGTAGGAGAGGGAGCGGAGTTGGATCGGCAGAGGCAATATGCAAACATCACCGTCATGGAGAACGACTACCCATTCGGCCTTGTACAGTTCAACGCAGTCTCACGGTAATACCTCTCTCGAAATATCGGTGGCTTGTGATGCCATTAGATAAACTTCTGGAGAACACCTCAAGCAAAAATCGATGGCTCTGATCACAATGAAATTGATATGGCACAGTTAAATGTACTAATAAATTCAACAATTCATATTATCTATATAACTAACCCGACCCCCACCTTATTCACCCCTCCCGCTCCCACTCACTGGCATGCACTCACACAACTTGCAAACAATGCATGCTACCATAAATCATGAGAAGGAAGATGTCGGGAGTAGCAGTAAAACATTTTTTGCTGCCTCAACAACACATGGCATGTTGGCCTGACATTTTGGCGCGTGATGCTTGAACGCTGTGTGTGCGTGGCATGTTGGCCTGACATTTCCGCGCGTGATGTTTGAACGCTGTGTGTGCGTGGCATGTTGGCCTGACATTTTGGCGCGTGATGCTTGAACGCTGTGTGTGCGTGGCATGTTGGCCTGACATTTTGGCGCGTGATGTTTGAACGCTGTGTGTGCGCGGCAGGTTTGTGACGGTGAGTGACGACGTGCGGCGGGTGACGCTTGGCGTGGAGCGCACGCACGGTGACGAGCGAGGCTTCCAGGTCGGCTACACGACGCAGCGCACCTACGACGTGCAGCACGTCGCCGGCGTCAGCGTCTACCCCGCGCTGTCGGGAGCAGACTTCACCGCCGCTTCAGGCGTTCTCACCTTTGCTCCGGGAGAGCAGCTGATATCGTTTCCGATCTACCTGACTCCGGAGCGCGCGTCCGCGAATCCGCTCCCGAAAATATTCCAGGCAAGTTGTTCGAGACAGTTAGTTGCTGTTTGCGCTGTTACGATTGCTCACTTACAGGCCATCATTAGCAGCTGATACACATCGGTAATTGCCTTCCTTGCTAATTGTACCATTTTTTGTACCATATTTTCCTATATATTTTTCTAGGGATGTCACGTAGGTACGTTATTTTATGCATTTACCTTTGTCCGTTCATGGTAACCGAGAAATAGTTCCAAAAGTACTTATGCTAAATTTTTGAGGCATGTGTGATAAACATTTGCAGGTGCGGCTTACGAATCCAACAGACGGAGCAGAGCTAAATAAGATCTATGCTGTCGCTAACATCACGATCGTGGGTGGCGCTGAGAATAGCCGACTGTGGGCGATACGCGCACAGATGGCGGGAAATCTCGGCGACGATCTAATCACAAGGCACGTAGCGTTTTTTTTGCGTGCAAAAATCGCATTTTGTAGTTCATGGCTTGTGCACCAGGGAAAAAATAACTTTTTTTCACGGGAGCTTTTTTCAAGTCTGTGGGAAAAATAGCTCTCCACAAAAATTTTACGGGAGCTATTTTGAGCCTTACGGGAGCGATTTCGGAGGTTTGTAGAGCGAATCGCTCATCGCTCCCGTGTATTTTTTACCCTGTCGTGCACGCCATTTGCCTATTAGGTACTGCTGGGATGTTGTGTATGGAGCACTACTTCCAGATGTAGTGTATATCACATCTAAGAACATTTTCTAATTGTGATTACGATTGTGACTTAAATTTGATTTGCAACTCTTTTTGTGTTACTGCTTCCTCGCAAGAGGATAGGCCAGCCTGGTCGCACCTTAGCTATGATGCGGGCATCACAGCCACTGGGAGAGCAGATTACAAAAAAAATAAATTTTTTGTTTTTGACAAGTTGTAATGTGGTTACAGGCTATTAGATGAAGTTGGTGTAGAACTGCAGAGAACGTTGCCAAGCACTGGTCTCTCACTCGTAGAGGACATAATCGAGTCTGTGCTCACGGAGGGGCTTGACAGACCGTAAGTCGCTCAATGCCGGCTGTAATAAATACACAGAATACCTTTACCTTTGCAATGTAGATTAACCTTGCACTTAGTATTATTATTATATCTTTATTGCATGCAATTCAAATACAAATACATGTAGTGAACCTTGCGTACTCCCTTAGTTACGTTCGACTGTATATCCCAAATAAACAATTTGATAACTGCTTCCACCATTGGAAGCATAAATTAACCTTAATTTAAAACTAACAGTTTTTTTTCTGTTAAACTCGTTTATGAACATTGTGCGGGTCAGACGACTCCTGTGCGTCATGCCCTAACAGGCCTTGCACAGTATTCTTATAGACATAGACATCCTTCAACCTGAGATATTTATCTTGTTATGTTTCCCCATCTCCCAGACTTCCGTTCGGTGCGAGGAGGAACCTGTTTAATATCTTCTGCCTGCTCATGGATCCAACACGACATGACACGAGAGGTCACTACGAGCTAGCGGCACTCTACGAGAAATTTGCTTACACAATGCTTACGGGGCAAAACTGTGATGGCGTATGGAAGCAGTTGTAAGTTTCTGGTTTTATTATCAAATAAGATTAAGATAAATTTGATTAGTAGGTTACCTCTGCAATGCATTTTTAGCTTACCTTGATATCGTCAAGATGAGCTATTGCCATGGGGTGTCATCCGTCGTACGTCCTTATACGTCCGTCCGTTCGTCTGTCTGTTCGTCAACATTTGGCTACGGTCAA